AAAAGGAGATTTACCCCTTTTCTATTGAACAGTGCCCACATATTTGTCAAAACAATATGTGAAGCGTTTTATCAGACAATGGGGCATACAATGACAGATGTTTAAGGAAAAATAAATCGAGTTTAAAAAACGCCAGTTTAAACGTTTTTTGTCTTAATTAATTGATTGGCAGAACTAAAACAATATTTAACGTTAATGTTAATATTATTATTTACGTATATAACTATATATTTTTTTAGAACCAAGATTTCTTGATTAATAAATGCTAAAGTTGAAATAAACAAAATATATTTATCTTTAAATTTCTAAAAAAAAGAATGTTCACTAGAGAAATCAGGAACGTTTTAATAATCGGTCGTAGTGGTAATGGCAAGTCTGCCTTAGCTAATACCTTAGTTAATAAAGGAGGCGAGTTTGAACAAATCTTCAAAGAAGGTTCTGGTAGCGTTAGTGAAACAAGAGAATCACAAAGTGAAATTTTTGAATGGAATGGAATCTATTATCGCTTGATCGACACGATCGGACTAGGCGACACTAAGTTATCTAATAAAGAAGTTCTTTATAGTATAGCAACAACTATTGGTATGATGAAAGAAGGAATAAGTCATCTTTTATTTATTGTTGACGGCAAGTTTAACGAAGACGAGAAGAAAAATTTTAGATTATTAAAGGAAGTTATGTTCGAAAGTCGTATTAGTAATTATACTACAATTGTGCGAACACGTTTTGAGAAATTCCGAAATCAAAATGATTGTGATTTAGATAAGAAAAATCTGCTTAGCGAAAGTAAGGATATCGCTGAAATAATTTGGGCATGCAACGGGTTAATTCATGTGGATAACCCTTCATTAGATATTGGCTCTGATGATGATATTGATGAAGATGAAAAGCAATTAAGAATTCGTGTTCGAAAAAAAAGATAAATGCAAATCAAGAGAGAAATTACTCATTCATTTAAGAGATAATTATATAGGAAATTATAAGTTAAATTCTTGGGATAAAATGTATCTTAGAATTAACAATTATCTTGAGAAATGCGATGAAAGAAATTATGATGAAAAAGAAACTATTGCTATTGAATTAGCTGCGGTTCTTTATAAAGAAGTGCCTTCATTCATTAAAGCACAGCATAATTCATCTGACAAATTTGCGTGGTGTCAAATACTTTAGTTCTAGTGAAAAAAGCAATCTAATTTTTCTTTTGATACAAAGTTGGTTACTTACATATTATTAAAACCTCTGATGGCGGTTTCTTATAAATCATTATTTATTTACTCAATTCGCGTAGAGATTGAAATCGATGAGTTTCGAGCATCGTTTTGTCACAAACTAAAGATTCCGAGCATCGATAAAAAATTTTGATCGAACATTCGAATATTCAGAGTTTTTTTAAAATATCGAAATATATTAATTACAACATGACTTTGTAATTCGTTGATTCATATTACATTTTAGAAATATCATTATGCCAAATTTCTTTGGATTTTATAACGTTCTCTTCACATATTGTTTTGACAAATATGTGGGCACTGTTCAATAGAAAAGGGGTAAATCTCCTTTTTAAATCTGGTCAATTTGACCGGATTTAAAAAGAAGATTT